CTAAAATACAACAACAAATTGACAAGTTAAGAATTGAGTTGAGAGTTAAGCTTAAGATTTTTATAGATCAAATGCTGTAATTAATAGGGTCTGGACAGTTTCTTCTAACACAATCAGAGGTCCCTTCTAGACCTAATGATAGCAACGTAGATTTTGGATCAAGAGATGCAAGATAATGACATGTTTTTTAGTACTTGCATTATGATGATTTGGGTTGTTTTCAAATACTATATTTTATAGGTTTCAACTTCATAATTTGTATTGCTTTAGAATTCCTATCGATTTGAACTTTATGATGTGAATTTAACTTTATAATATGTGGGTTAAATCTTTATGCTTTTAATTAATAATAGATAAATGGTAGATTTTTTAAAAGAATCACACGTGTTTTGTTTTTAATTTAAAGATTTCTTAAATAATTATCGATGAAATTAATTAAATTACTGACAAATTTTAAATTTTACCAATGAATTTTATAGATAGAAATCCCATTGTTTTCAACAAAAATTAGCTTTTATTGACAGATTACCAACCAAGTACAGACAGATTATAGATGGATTTTACCAATGGATTACTGACGAATTCCTGATGGAATTTTATCCTTTTCAATTAAATTTATGGTTTTATTTAAATATATTTACTAACAGAATAATTATATTACTAATAAAAATAATTGTCGGCAATTACCAATAGAATTTTAAATTTACCAACAAAATGTTATTACCGACTTGCTTACTACCAACATAAATTTTTGTTGATATATCAATAAATGTTTTACCAACAAAATTTTTCCATCAATAATACCCTAATTTTTAATAGTGAAAAAGGCCAAATAATTTTATTATAGTTGACATTGATATCTTCTTTTGTTTTTGAACTTTGATAATGTTTGATCTCTACCTATATGATTTTTTTGAATGTTTTTAGAAAACGTAAAAGTTAAATTTATTTTAATAAAAAAAAATAGCTTATAACACTACAAGAAAATAGATATTTAACAATCCTATTTTGCAACCACTAAAAATATTGTTGCAAAACATTGGTATATTTACAACAATTTTTTATAATTGTTGCTTGATTAAATTTTTTAATATTTTATACAATGATAAATTTTATCGTTGTGAATTCCTCTACTATTTATAACAACAATAAATAGTTGTTGCCAAAACTTATTTTATTTGCAACGATTTTTCAGTGTCATTACTTAAGTTGTTTTTTAATATTTTATACAACGAAAAAAAAGTTATTACAAAAAATTTTATTATATTTATAATGAAAACAAAAAGTTATTACGAAATTTTTCTTTTTTTTTTTTTGCAATGATTTTTCAAATTCATTACTTAAGTTATTTTTTAATATTATATGCAACAACAAAAAAAGTTGTTACAAAAAATTTTATAATTTTTGTAACTAAACCAAAAAAGTTGTTATGAAAACTTTTTTAATTTGCAACAATTTTTCAATGTTTTTGCTAAAGTTATTTGTTAATATTTTACACAATGACAAAATTTTTTATTATGAAAACTCTTATCATATTTATAATGATAAAACTTATTATTTTGAAATTTTGTTTTATTTGCAATGGTTTTTCAATTTAGATGCTTAATTTTTTTTAAATATTTTAAAACGAAAAAGTTATGACAAAAAGGTTTATCATATTTATAATAATAAAAAATTATTATTGCAAAAACTTAAAATTTTCAATTTCATTACTTAATTTATTTTTTAATATTTTATACAATGATAAAAAAGTTATTATGAAATTTTTGTCATATTTGTAACGATAAAAAATTATTGTTATGAAAACTTTTTTTATTTACAACAAATTTTCAATATGGTTGGTTAATTTATTTTTTTAATATTTTATACAACGACAAAAAAATTATTACAAAAATTTTTATTATATTTATAATGATAAAGATATTGTTACAAAAACTTGTTGTATTTGCAACATTTTTCAATGTCGTTGCTTAAATTTTAACATAATAAAAAATTAATCACATATTAAATTATTAAGATACCCTTATGATTGGTTTATAAAATATAGCTTGTGACATTTTATTAAAAATAATCGAAACGAAATAATCGAGTTAAATAATTATAATTTTTATTAAAATAAAAATTAAATAATTTATTTTTAAAATAAAAAATATTTAATCCCTATGTTGTGGGCTCGCTCACTAGTACAATATGAATTGGAAACAAGCAAACCATTATAAGGCAAGCTGTCATTGTCCCTTACTTCTCTTGTCAGTTTTGTTAACCGTTCTTGACATTACTATATTTTATCAAGTATTTTAATAAGATGTCTTATTGAAAAGCATTATATATGATAATTTTAAGGAATTTCATAAATATACCCTGTGGTTAAGGTTGAAATGAAAGTATCCCCTGAGGTTTAAAATGTGACACTTAACTACCTTATGATTTGTTTTATTTTTTTTACCCAAAATCTTTACTTTTTCTATTTCTTTTTATTTTTTATATTTTTTTCATTTGAATTCATACTTTTTCTTTCTCTAAAACCAAACCAATTCTCTCTCTAAATCTAGACCAATCTACTAACAACAACTTTCAAACCACCAAAAAACTCTTACAACATCGAAAACTCTTCACATTCCTATCTCTTTAAACTTTCAAACCTTAAACCAAAAAATTAACAACCCAGAAGTTAATGTTGATCTACCGCTTGCCTCTAGCTATCCACCTACTGTGTGCTATTTAGCAGTTTTTGAAAACCCTAAGCAAATCTTTTTTTTTTCTATTTTCCTCTTCTTCTTCCTTTAAAATTTCTTAAGTCTCTAGTACAAGCCTAAATCCAAGCACTAAATAAAAATTGCTACCACTTTCTAAACTTTTCAACCATCTTCAAACTCTAAAAAACAACACCAAATCAACAAAACTAAAAACCAAAAAATTGTTAACAACCCGCTACCTTCATCGCTGTCCGTTACTTTGTTGAGATCATCGAGGACTTCTTCTTCTACTATTTTACATGAGCAATGATTTTTTCTCTATTTATAAGAATAAACCCTAAGAAACTGAATCATAATCTCATAACTTTATGTATTTTGTTGTTGTAAATTTCTATTTTCTTATCTGGGTGATAATTTCTTATTTCTATGACTAAATTTTTTTTTGTGGATTTTTTTATAAGGCTACTTGATGGAATTTTGATTTTTTTTTTTAAGTTGTTAAGGCTTTGTTGGTGAATTCTGTATTGCTTGTGTTGTGAAATTTTACTTTTTGAATTGATTCAATTCCTAGCAGCTTCTTGTTTGTTGACAGTAAAATGGATTTTTTTTTTTATGTTTTGAAGGTTATTGTTTGTGGATTAGAGAGAGAATTGGATTGGTTTTAGAGAGAGAGAGTATGGATTCAAATTAAGGAAAAAAATAAAAAGTAACGATTTTAGGTAAAAAAAATAGTAAAACAAATTATATGATAATTAAATGTCACATTTTAAATCTCAGGGGATACTTTTATTTCGGTTTTAATCACATGATATATTTATGAAATTTACCCATAATTTTAAATATGATATAAAAATAATATATAAAAAATAAAAAAAAGTAATTTAAAATTTAAAAATTATATAAATTTAATAAAAATAAAATAATATATTTTATATTTATCATATAAATATAAATAATAAAATAATAATTTGTGTATATTTAAAATATATTTTATATATTATTTTATGTTTACGCATATTTAAAACAAAAGATATACAAAATAAATACACAAATGGTCAAATATGAAAGAAGCGTGAGTCTAAGGAAGCCAACTATGCGAATCTTCCAGCTCAATATTACCTTTCACCCGACCATCCAAATCATAAGTAATCAGATCTGTCGGTGGTGCTGCCGCTGCAACCTCTCTAATATTGGGCCGGCCATTTGCTTGGCTGTCTGACTAAAAGCATATAAAAAAAATTACTCCATACGAGCATGTACGGCAGAGATCAGGGTATACGGGTAAAAGAAGAGTTGTATTTTTCTCATTCTTTTCCGTTTCCATTGAGGGTATATGGATGAAGTCACATATAAGGATTTCAGTTTGGTCGTGTTTTGTTATATTGAGTGATTATTGGAGTTAGAAATGGTGATTATAGTCAAACTAGATATGGGATTATGCCACGCTTTTTTCAATTTCTCCTTTATGATTTAGAATCAGAAATTATAATAAAATCTTTTCATTTTTTTTTTAAGGCATTAGCTTTCATTGAAGACTTTTCTCCTCACTGAAAAGTTTAAAAATGGCGATATAACCAGTTCCGTGCTTTTTGCCGCCATTTATCGCTCCCAGAACTCTCTCATCTGAAAAAAAAGGCGAGCAAAGGAAAGAAAAATAAAGCGAATAAAACCCCCTAATTTTCACCTCCGTTTCCCAAGATAATAAATCCGATTTTGTTCATCGCTCTGCTTCCTCGATTCAGTTTTCGTCGAAAGTCCAATACAGAAAAAGCGAAGCCATTGCCAGGCTGGTTCGTTTTTCTCTTTGTTTTCTCATTATATCCAAATTTCACAATGGTATACCTAATTTTTTTTTTTTTCTTTAGGTAAATCGTTGGGTAGTTAGAGTGGATGGAAATGGCGACTCTTCAAGACATATCTGTCTTAGCAGCCATTAATCTTCTCTCTACATTTGCATTCCTTGTCGCTTTTGCAATATTGAGGCTTAAATCGATTAATGGTAGGGTTTTCTTCCCGAAATGGTACCGAAAAGGGATAAGAAGCAGCCTTAGACGATCTGAAGCATTTGTATCCAAATTTGTCAACTTAGATTGGAGGACATACATAAAATTCTTGAATTGGATGCCTGCGGCTTTGAGAATGCCTGAACCCGAGCTCATTGAAATTCGTTCAGGGTAACTTCTTCTTATATGCTTTCTTCAACTTTAATTTAAATTATTTTGGTAGTATAAGTATAATTACTGCTTGTCAACAGGTACAATGGGCTGAACCTTCCTTCATTCCAAGACCTTACGGGGTTTCACCATGGGAGATAGAACCCTTTGCTGCCCCAATTTTGAGACAGCTGCTAGTTTTCGATTGTTTGGTATTGAGCTGATAAACCATTCTGTGAGCTTAACACAATTAGAGAGGGCACCTAGACAACTTTTTACTATGACCACTGGTACAACTGAAGGACATGGTCCAAGTACCCTGTCACCCACTGATTCTGACCAGACTTCTGACATTTCAAAAGATTCTAAAGAGAAAAAGCAGGAACAGTTACAATTATCAGCAAAGGAGATCCGGAGCAGACAAAGTTGTTCTAGTTCTACAAGAAGTTGTACCAAGGTATAGAAAGTCAAATGTTAATTCGTTCAATTGAAGAATTATTTGTTTCTTTGAAGAATTTCCATTAACTCTCTTTGGGATTTGTATATGTGAGCAGGTTCAGATGCAAGAGGTAGCTGCCGTTCGTGCTGTTGTCTTGGCCATGTTGGAAGTTTATGAACTAGAGAGGATGTTTGATATTAAGGGAGAACTTCACCCTAGGATTAAGTGAGAGGTCACTAGTGCCGCCCGGATATGATGTTTGAAGATTCAGAGGATCTTATATATATATATATATGGATTATCCCAAAGTTATATGATCGAAAAAAATCAAGATCATAGCATAGAGATAGAGTAAAACAGTAAATTTTTTAATTTTTTAATAGTCGGACTCATTATAAATGTGAGATAACTCATGTGGAGCAAATATAGTTGAAACATTTTTTTAATTATATTTATGAAATAAAATAATAAATTAAATAATTTTATGATTAGTAATAATAAAGTTGTTACGAAAGGTATAAAAAATTTTTAAAAATATTTATGTAATAATAATAGTCATCATGAAATAAGATATGTAATCAAAATAATATTGTTACTTCAAAGTTTTTATAACCAAAATTTATGATTGCTTAAATAAAGTTTATACAACACTATTTGTCATTGCAAAATAAATTTTTAGCTACTACTTTTTTTTTTCATATAAAAAATTTGATAACAAAAATAAATATATTTTTATGAAAAATTTTTTGCAACCATAATAATAATGTTATGTAAATTTTTTTGTAACAAAAATTTATTGTTGTTAAAAAAAATATTTTACACAATGATTTTTAATGTTGTGAATATATGATTTATATGGCAACAACTTTTAACTAAAAGTCATTGTAATATTTATTTTTATCAATGACACAATAAATTATTGCATTAATTCTTAAACAATGAAATTAAAAACAACGACCTACAAGCACAAAAAAGGAAAACCGGTTTAAAACAATTTTAATAATGATAAGTAAATATTTAATAACAATTTGACCTTTGTTAATCAATTTTCATGTAGTGTAATAAGGCAATAAAAAAGTAAACTTTAAATCCAAACCTTAATTAAATTATTTTTAAAAATTAATATTTTACAAGTATAAAAATTCAATAGTACTTACCATTTTTTTCTCTGTTTTAGAATTCCAACCTCTAATAGTATGTTTGAATTGAGGGGAGAGGAAAGAAAGGAAAGTAAAGTAAAAGAAACAAAACCTCCATTCCCTTGTTTGGATAAATATTTAATTTAAAAAAAGAGAAAGATGTGAAAATCAAATAACCTTTAGTTTTCTTTGCAAATTCAATTTGTTTAATACCTTATTTTGGAGGAAAAGCTAGGGAAAGAAAAGTTTAAATTTATTTTTTTATAAAAAGATTATTATATTTATCTTTTTATTGATACTAAAAATCTGAAAAAAAAATATCTAAGTAGATCACAATAATCTTGTAATTTTTTCAAAGCAATCATTTTTTTTCAAGTAAGTTTTATATATATCTTCTACTATAAAAATTTTTTATAATTTTTTGGTGATTTGATTTTGATGAATGATTAAATATAAATAAATATATTTTTTAAATTTATGAGATGTCAAACTAGTTCAAAATTTATTAATGCATATTTATAAAATATTTTCTTGTTTCACTTTATTAAAAATCATTAATATAATAAAAATTATAAGACCAAACAAAATAACAAATATATAATGATCTATGAATACTCTAAAATCAATTTCAATTAATTTAATTTTCAAATCCAATTTCCTGTAAGAAGTTGTTAAAGACAAAAACTTGCCACTTGCCAGTCCTGTTTCAGATCTAAACACGTGTTTTTCACAAAAAAAAAAAAAAAAAACTTCAAAGGTTGTTATATTTCTAAACATCATCTTGTCTCCATTCCAAACAAATGTTGGAAATATTTTATACATTCAACATGTCAAATTATAAATTTCTAAATCGATTTGGAGTTGCGAACCTCACATGGGTATCTGACGAAGATTTTTTCAATCTTTTAATAAAGTATATTGACCGTGCATATCTATACGTACAATAAAAACAGTTCCATAACTCTAATTTACCATATACCCCTTTGATATCTCGAAAAAATTAAATGGTAAATTTGACCCATAAAAAAAAATTACTTTTCAGCTCTTTGCTTGTATATATTAAATGCAAAGTAGCTAGGTGGTGAGATCTTACCTTTTACCAATGATTAAACTATTAATATATAACCTTTTACTGTTGACAACGATCAGGCAAACAAAAAATTATTTGCTCAAAGCTTTCTTGCATGTTCAAACGAGAAAAGATATATACTGAAATATTAGTTCATTAATTATTGATTTTTAATATTTGATTTTATATATATATATATATATTATAGGCTAAGAAATGGGAGGAAAACAGCTTAAATTATAGTACTATTTAAAAGATAAACCATTTTATTTCATACAAAAGATCATGGACTTTTGCTCAAGAGCTTGTTACAACTATTCTATAACTGTCTATGAATATATATAATATATATAGTACTATTTAAAAGATAAACCATTTTATTTCGTACAAAAGATCATGGACTTTTGCTCAAGAGCTTGCAACAACTATTCTGTAACTGCCAATGAATATATATATATATATATATATATATATATATATTAGAGGTTACAAATAGAAATTTAATTTGGGTTCGAATTATTTTCAAGTTGGATTATTTCATGTTCGGATTGACTTGAGTTGGAATTCATTCGAGGTTAGAGCATTTTGAATTTTAAGTGATTTATGTTGGAACAATTTTGGCAATAGGTATTTGATTAAATATAGGTTTGAGTTTTTGAATTCAAGTTGATTTTGCCACCGATAATAGATCTGATCGATTGCGTTCATATCTCTGCAAATTCAATCGTCTTCTTCCCATCATGCGCCTTGCTAAAGAAATATTTGACATAATCCGAGTACAAGACTTGCTTATAAATGGGTTTCGCACCACTTTGCAGCACTTCAGGCAAGGGGCCGATAATATCAGTTGGTTTTGGGTTGACGAAAATGGGAACTGAAATTCTATTTTTAGTTCCATTGGCAATCACACGGTGCTCGACACTCCTGTACCGACCATTGCTCAGTATTTGCAATGCATCTCCAACGTTGATCACAAGGGATCCCTCAATGGGAGGAACATGAAGCCAGCTGTCACTTTCACCTTGGTTTCCTCTCACGTAAAGCCCTCCAATTTCGTCTTGGAGGAGGATGGTGAGCGTTGAGACATCAGAATGACGCCCTACTCCCACAGTGAGTTCAGGGTTAGGACAAATAGGATAGTAGTTCAAATTAGTTCTTACCGAACCCATCAAGAGAGATTTTTTTGTTTCATCAATTTGTTTCACATCTAGTCCATTCATTAACATTTGTAATAATTGTTTAATCACAACTTCAGACCTCCTCATGTACTCTAGCACTTGCTCCCTGAAAATATAAAAAGAAATTGAAGTCATATACTATAGTATATATTTTTAATCATTCATGGATGCAAATACAGGCCCTATGCCTTGCAACAACCAAAATATCATCTTGCTTCACTACCTGAAGCAGAAGTAGGGATAATAATTTTTTTTTGGGTTTCAGAAGAGGGCATAGCCCTTATAAGAGGGAAATGGAAAGAGATTTTGGCTCGAAACTAGAATCTTTATGTCTTCAAAAAACTTTCTTAACCACTAAACCAGGAGGAGTTAGCCAAAAAATTTACACATGAATTTGCACGCTCGTACAATATGGTGAGTTGTTAATTAATTACCTGCAAACAGGTGGCCATAACGCAGAAGCCTCCTCCTCAGATACAAAAAAGAGGCTAAGGTAATCTTTCCACTCGAGAGACTTTTCCGCCATGGGGCTAAAACTTGTGCCAAACCGCACGTTGTTGGAAGCCGAGTGTTCCTTGGAATACTTAATTTTTTGGTCGGCGGGTAGCCCAAAGAAGCAGTGAGTTGCGTCTTTAACACTCTCCAGCACTTCGATGGGAACATCATGGTTAACAATCTGGAAGAAACCCCACTTCTCTGCTGCATCACAAACGGCTTTTGAAACTTTGGGGTGTTCCCAGTTGGACATATCAATAATGGGAATGGATTCTTGGGTTATGATTTTGGTCATACACATCCTCTCCTCCAAAGGTTGGATGTAAGGCTTAGGGAGGGCTTTGAGGCCCATTTCTGACAAACCCTTCACTCCATTCCCTTGATTTATGACAAAATCAGCTAGAGCTGAGGAATCAGTGAATAGTTGATCAGCGATGCTTGGAGCCATTGGTTCTGAAAGATGAATAGAATAGAGCTAATTCGAGGCTAGGGTGGTGAAGCACTCCTCACGCCAAGGGTGGGTATTTATAGGCATCATACACACAAAACTTCTCAAATGTGACATCTGATGTACGTATCTCGTTTCTCACCAACCAACTTAGCAAATGCCATGCCTTTTAGGCCTTCCTACCTCGGCCGGTCAGGTTGCATTTCAAAATATAGCAACAATTGTACTTGGTATAACATATAAATTAATTTTGTTTAAAAATACTATTCCCTTTTTTCATGTTTCAAAATGAAGTCTTCTCTTGTATACTCCTACTTTTTTCTTATTTTTCATGATTTTTTCTTTTACTTTTTTATATTAAAGTCTCTGTTAGGATTTTTTTTTCATAAAATGCAATTATAAAATCAAACCTTTTTTTTATAACATGACTATAAATAAAAATGAGACAAAGAATTAGGAAAGGAAAGAGTAATTATTCGAAGGGGAAGTCCAAAATTCAAAGTTCTCTCATTTATTGATCTTAAGTAATTGTACTAATAATAATGACAACAATAATAATAATAGCAAATACACATAGATGCATGCATAGATACAATAAGCAAATAGATAACTACAATTGTCATGTATTTTTTATTTTTACCTAAATTTTTTAATAATCAAATATGATTATTAAAATTAAAAATTTAGCACTTTATCAATAGATCATATATCTATTGGCACAAATGCCATATTATTTGTCTAAACTTAATTTTTTTATGGTAAAAAAACACTTAATCTTTTTAATCTTACTTCTTGGTAATTTTAGATATGATTCTTAGAAGAATTGAGATCAAGTCCCTCTTCTTAGAAGAATTGAGATCAAGTCCCTCTCCCCATTTGAAATTCTCATATGTATGAAATAAAAAGATAAAGCGAAAGATAAAACAAAATGAGAAAACTTCGCAAGTCAATCCTGATTTTATGCTTTAACTGCATGAAAAATTGCCTAATGCTGCGGCGGCCGGTGTGGTTTTTATACTTTATTAGTGGTTAGATGGTTATGTCATATCCATTATAATATAGTTTAAAAGAATAAATTAATATAATAAATAATGGGATATATTATAACATTTTAATATCTCTTGTAAATTTAATTAATTTAATTAGGCCTTGTTCAGGCCTGGGATGGTCAAATCTCTCTAAGAACCTTCTAAACACCTACTGTTGATTTTTTTAGGGTACCTACTGTTGATATATAGTTTATAGAATGTAGTGTGGCTTTTTTATCCTACATTGAACCAAGCGCATTAGGGCTTGAACTAGTTTGGTGAATTGAATCTTACGTCAACTTCTTAATTTCAAAACTAAATAAATTTAATAAAATTAATTTTATGTTATGAATTATTACATTTAAAATAAACAAGTGTTTATAATAGTTACATATTTCTAAATATTCATCAATTATAAAACAGTTTTTACTCATAATAATTTCCATTGCTTTTTATACAGAAGCTGTTCACTCAAGGGTAAAGAATTAAAATAATAAGAGTAAGAACCACTCAACCAAGAGATCCAGACTGTGTGAGAAATATTACAAAGCCGTGACACATATAAAACATTGTCCACACTAGCACAATAATGAGGACAAGAAGCAGACGCCAAGATAAGACATGCCTCTTTAGTTGAAATTTTGTTATGAGGCACAAGGCATAAAAAGAGTCGAATTTTGGGAAGCAAATCCAATTTCCACACCTTATTTCAGCAGAAATCAAAACCACTGGCCTCCACAACAAGCTTATAGGTAGTGCAAACCGAAAACATACCATTTGGAGAGGTTGTCCAAATAACTTGAGCCTCTTTACTTGGTAATAGTTAATGTCGTAACGGTTTTGTGTTCATCCGACGAATTTGGAAACAAAATAAAAAATAACGGAGTCGTCATCAATCTTTTTTGGTTAGGTGCGATTGACCACCTATTAAAACATATCCTTTTAATGAAATCTTAAAATTAATTAAAATTTATTAAAAAGATAATTTTACGGTCTGCGAAATAGTCTGGGTTCGGGAGTCGATTACGTGTGGAGAAAGATTAGCACCCCCACAACGCTCGTTAAAAAAACGGTACCAATTAACAATGTGTTATCTTTTGATTTTGATAAAAATAGTCCAATTTTCGGTGTTCGAAAAATAATTTCCTTGATTTTTTTTATTTATTTAAAAAAATTTTATTCCTAAGAAAAAATAAATTAAAACTTTTTTATTGAAATAATTCTTAAAATGTTCTAGTACGTTGATAACATTAAAAGAACTCTTTCTCACCTAGAGATTTCTTAAAGCATCTCTACTCGGAATACTTTTAGAATCTCATCTTCGGAGGCTCGAATTTATTTTTCGTAAGAAAATGTCATGTAAAAAAAAAATTTATTCTCGAGAAAAATAAATTAAAACCTTCTTATTGAAATAATTCTTAAAATGTTCCAGTATGTTGGTAACATTAAAAGAACTCTTTCTCACCTAGAGATTTCTTAAAGCATCTCTACTCGGAATACTTTTAAAATCTCATCTTTGGGAGGTCTAAATTTACTTTTCGTAAAAAATTATGTCATGTATGCAATGCAAATAATTACATGTTGATGCACACATTTTATTCTTTTTCGAAAATTTTATTAATTGCTTTATTAATTTTTAATTTTAATTGAAATTTTGAAGAA